AGGATCCAGGTTTTATCCCCAGTACCAAAAACAAAACAAAACACCACACACAATAAAATGGAGTGCTACTCAGCCATAAATAATGAGAAACTACAGATATTTATAGTTAAGTGGACACACATTGAGGCCATACTCTTAAGTAAAATTAATAAGTTACACATGTGCAAATACTGAAGTTTCTCTGGTGTGAAAAACTAAAAATGTTCATAAGAATCAAAATGTATAATTTATATTGTGTAATAGGAATAAAAGGTCTAAAAGAGTAGAGGAACTGGGAAGGGTGAGAAAGGTAAAAAGGGAAAAGAAAATTATGTGAAAAGGAAAAAGATGGAAACAAATTCTTTGTAAACAGGGAAGGGAGGAGGGGTTAAAGAGAAGGCTGGGGAATGAAGAAAAATTAAGAATCCATATATGTCATGTAAATGCACAAGATTCCAATGATTAATGTAATTGTATTATATATCTAAAATTACCAATAAAAAAGCTTCTGCACTGTAAAAGAAGCCATCAACAGAAATAAAAGACAACCTACAATGTGGGAAAAAAGTTTTACCAGCTGCTCCTCAGACAAAGGGCTCTTATCTAGAATATATAAAGAACTCAAAACAATCAGCCCCCCAAATATAAAGACCCAATTCAAAAGTGGACATCTGAAATGAACAGACATTTCTCAAAGAAGTAAAAGCAGCTAGTAAATATATGAAAAAATGTTCCACATCACTGGTCATTTGAGAGATGCAGATGAAAACAACACCGAGATTCCATCTCACCCCAAAAAGAATGGCTGCTATCAAGAAATCACACAATAACAAATGTTGGTGGGATTGTGGGGAGAAAGGAACCCTTCTCCATTGTTGGTGGGAGTGCAGACTGGTGCAACCACTATGGAAATCAATATTGAAATACCTCAAAGAGCTGGGACTAGAGTCTCCATTTGACCCAGCCATCCCTCTGCTGGGTATCTTTCCAGAAGAACTAAAAGAATCATATCACAGTGACATATGCACACCTATGTTTATAGCGGCACAGTCTCTAATAGCTGAAACTTGGAAACAGCCCATTTTCCCATCATTTGAAAATTGGATAAAGAAGATATGGCTTTTCTATAAAATGTAATACTGCTCAGCCATAAAGAATGAGAAATTGATTCATTCATAGGAAAATGGATACATATTGAGGATATACTCCTAAGTGAAATAAATAAGTCTCATATGTGTAAATACCGAATAGTTTCTCTGGTGTGAAAAACTATAAGAGTACATAAGATCCCAATGAGATAATTGACAATGTGAAATAGGAAGAAAAGGGCTAAAGGTGTAGGGGAAGTGGGAAGGGTAGGGGAAAGGAAATAAGGGAAAAGAAAAAAATAGAAGAAAATGTAAAAATGGAAATAAAGTGTTTGTAAAGGGGGAGGGGAGGCAGAGGTGAAGGGAGGGCAGGGACAAGGGGAAAAAATAAGAAACTGTCATGTAAAGGTAGAAGATCCCAATAAGGGATGTAACTGTATTGTATACCTAAAATGTACCAATAAATTCAATGAGAAAAAGTAAAATAAAATTACCAATAAACTTAATAAAGACAAAAAATAAATCTGTATAATTAGTGATTTTCCAATTATTTCCTTAATTACAGAGAGAGGAGTATTAAATCTCCACGAATAACTGAGGGTATCTACTTTATGCAGCCTTACCTACATCTGTCCCAGGACCTAGTACTTCTGCTACAGAGTCTCTGCATTTAGTGCTGCTGTGGATGCAGTATTCCTACTAAGAGAGCTAAGAGACAACCTACAATGTGGGAAAAAAAATTTACCAGCTATTCCTCAGACAAAGAACTATTATCTAGAATATATAAAGAACTCAAAAAAATCAGGCCCCCGAAATATAAAGACCTGATTCAAAAATGGGAATGTGAAATGAACAGATACTCCTCAGACAGAAGTAAAACCAGCAAATCAATATATGAAAAAAATCTCTTATTCGAGAGATGCAGATGAAAACAACACTGAGATTCCACCTCACCCCAGTAAGAATGGCTGCTATCAAGAAATCAACCAATAACAAATGCTGGCAGGGTTGTGGGGAGAAATCAACCCTTCTTCATTGTTGGTGGGAGTGCAGACTGGTACCACTGTGGAAATCAATATGGAGATACCTCAAAGAACTAGAATTAGAGTTTCCATTTGACCCAGCCATCCCTCTGCTGGGTATCTTTCCGAAAGAATTAAAAGAAACATTCCACAGTGATATATGTGCACCCATGTTTATAGTGGCACAGTTTGTAATAGCTAAGACTTGGTAACAGCCCAATTGCCCATCGGTTGGAGACTGGATAAAGAAAATGTGGTTTTTCTATAAAATAGAGTACTACTCAGCCATACAGAATCAAAAACTAGAGTCATTTATTGGAAAATGGATGTATATTAAGACCATACTCTTAAGTGAAATAAATAAGGCACACATGTGTAAATACCAAATAGTTTCTCTGGTGTGAAAAACTAAAAGTGTAAGTAAGATCCAAACTGTATAACTGACAATGTGAAATAGGAAAAAAAGGGCTAAAGGTTTAGGGGAAGTGGGAAGGGTAAGGGGAAAGGAAATAAGGAAAAATAAAAAATATGAGAAAAGGAAAATATGGAAACAAATTATTTGTAAATAGGAGAGAGTAGAGCAGGTAAAGGGAGAGAAGGGGTATGGGGGAAAATGAGAATCAAGATCTGTCATGTAAAGGTACAAGATCCCAATGATAAATGTAATCGTACTGTATACTTAAAAAGTACCGATAAACTCAAGGGAAAAAAATAATCTTAGTATTTGATTTGTAAAAAAATTTAGCAACACAGGCTAAGTATGATATAATTTTAAAAGTTTGTTTACAGTTTGATTTTATAAAAATATAAAACCTCAACATTTGTTTTTAAATTACAAAGGATAATTTAATAGATGAAAGAAACAATATATTTCTGTTTTCTCATGGTGTTGTCAGCTGAACGGTGTCCTCTCAAAATCCATGTGCTTAGATTCTGACCTCAGTGTGAATTCATTTGGAGACAGGGCCTTTAAGGAGCTAATTAAAGCTAACTGCAGGCCTAAGGAAGAAGCTCTGGTCCAACATGACTGATGGCCTCACGGAAAGAGAGACAGAAAGCAAGAGGAAGAGCAAGGATGACAGCTTCTGCAGGAAAGGCCACGTGAGGACATAGACACAATGCAAAATTCTGCAAGCCAAGGAGTTCCGGAAGAAAATGGTTCTGTTGGCAACATGATCTTTGGCTCTCAGCCTCCAAAACAGTAGAAAATTAATTTTTGTTGTTCAATCAATCTAATCTATGATATTTTGGTATGGCATCAAATGGCAAGTCAAGAAAAAAAATAACTAGTGATATGAAAAGAAAAAAGAGAGAAAGATTAAAAATGAGACATATTTATACACAGAACAGAACACCTGAAAGATGTGAAGAAACTCACCCCCCAAATTTAAAGCACCAATTCAAAAATGGGCATCTGAAATGAACAGACATTTCTCAAACAAAGAAGTAAAAGCAGCAAATAAACATGTGCAAAAATGTTCAACATCACTGGTCATCCAGGAGATGCAAATGAAAACAACAGTGAAATTCCACCTTATCCCAGTAAGAATGGCTGCTATCAAGAAATCAACCAACAACAAATGCGGGCAGGTCAGTGGGGAGATAGGAACCCTTCTTCCCTGTTGGTGTGAGTGCAGACTGGTACAACCACTGTGAGATACCTTAAATATGGAGATATGGAGATACCTTAAACAACTAGGATTAGAGGTCCCATTTGACCCAGCTATTCTCCTGCTGGGTATCTTCCCAAATTAAAATAATCATACCACAGTGATATATGTTCACCCGTTTTTTTAATGGCACAGTTTGTAATAGGTAAAACTTGGAAATGCCTAATTGTCCATCAATTGGTGACTAGATAAAGAAGAGGTGTTTTTTAATAAAACAGAGTAATACTCAGCCATAAAGAATGAGAAACTAGAGACATTTATAGCCAAATGGATGCACATTGAGGACATACTCTTAAGTGAAATTAATAGGACACATGTGTAAATACCAAATAGTTTCTCTGGCATGATAAACTAAATGTGTAAATAAGAATCAAAATGGTTAATTGATATTGCATAATAAGAAAAATGTCTAGAGGTGTAGGGGAAGTGGTAGGGGAGAGGTATGAAGGGAAAAGAAAAAATAAGAGAAAAGGAAAAAAAATGGAAACAAAGTCTTTGTAAATAGAGGAGGGTGGAGGGGGTTGAAGGGAGGCCAGGAGAAGGGCGACAAAAAGAAGAACCAAGATACATCATGTAAAGACACAAGATCTCAATGATGAATGTAACTGTACTATAGAACTAAAAATATATGAATAAAGAAAAAAAGAAAGGAAGAAACTCAGACATATCCTGTATGCAGATACTATGAAAGGCCATGTTATAAAATAAAAAATTTATGGTCTTTTAAGAAATTGCTGCTAAAGATGTCTGAACTCATGAATTTCTTCTAGTATGCATATTTACAAATAGATAAATAAAGCTCCAATTCTACTTCCAGGCCACATTTAGAGCTCTCATTTAGAGTCTGCATTTAAAAATACCCTCACTGGGTAAGTCGTGAAATAGACTGAATTTATTTTTTTAGTTCTTCCATTGTCATGCTTTTAATGTCTCCATTCTCCACTGGCCTCCATTATACTTTGTGGCTAGGCTACTCCATGTACTCAAACAAAAACAATTGCCAGACTATCACATTTGAGGGAAACCATGTGGTGATCATTTTGGCTAACGCTCAGTGAACCAAAAAAATACACGTATTTTGCATTAAGACTTACACAAAACAAGGTAACAGAACTAAACTACTGCATCAGGAAATTATATTTATTTCAATGGACACATCTTAGGAATTAAGTAAGCACCTAGCAAGATCTCATCTTTCCATTAAAACTAACCCAATGTTTTGCTAGATTCAAATTACTTACCATAGAGTAGTCTTGAAACATTCCCGATGATCCAGAGAAACTCCAACTGGAGACAGGAGGTGAATGAAAAGCCTTTGTTGACACACTTCCTCTCCAATCATAAAATGGTTTATCTGTTAAAATATCAATGTAGTTTGAAGTAATATTTGTCCAGAAAGTGTACACACCAATCATAAGGCTTAATGTTACAAAGAAGGAATCAAATCACTTTTATGAGCTAGATATTCTGTGTAGAAATCACATTTTGTCATCTAACCGTTGAAAAATGAAGAAGTGATGGCACTGTATAGAGAAGCTTCAATTCACTGGCTCCTTCACACAGCAAAGCTCGCATGGCTTTTATTGCATACAGTGTGCCCATTAGGAAACTAATAAGTTCATTCTCTTCTCTTCAAGAACATTGACTTCTTTATAAAAGAAAGGTTAAAGCAATATCATATTTGAGAATAGTACTTATAAAAATGAAAGGAAAACTTATCCACTACATAAGTACTTTAAAATAAAACTGAGAATTATCACGGAGGCATAAGCTTTGAAGTTGCAGAGTAAATGAAATTATTCAAAGTTTTAAGGTAAATACTCTAAGAGCAAGAGGTTAGCTAGGAGATATCCCATATTTCTGCTTCCTCACGGCAGTTGTCTCCTAGGAGTTCTGCAGTAATGTTCTTTTCCTCATGGGGAGATTTGAGATGTACTTGTCCAGAGCCAAGCATAATCCTATGTTTAATCCCCAATACTTCCCCACAAAAGAAACTTTACTTGTCCAATCATTTCTCAGAAACACTAATTGTTTTAAAAACAGAAAACTTCAGTTCAATCCAGTCATCCACATAAATGAAATTAATTTCAAATTTTTAATACTTATTTATATACATATATTTTCCTGATACATTCTATTTAATAGTTATCCATGGACTGGTTAATTTCATAGAAATTAGAGAGAACTCAGAAATAATTCATTCTAACATTTAATTGCTTCAACTCATTTATAGTATCATAAGTTAGGTGTCCTACAGAGAGGTAAAGAAGTAACATAAAACAATGAAAATGTGTTATCTTAGATATATTCCAATAAATATACACACATCCTACCACATTTTAATTTTTACACATATTTCACCCATTCAGTCAAAAAGTCTCTGTCCTTGATCAAAAAAGCAAAATCTCTCGAAAGGCAACATAACAAATCCCAAATTTCAATCAAAACTCAAAGAGAATAAATGAAATTCTTTAATGAAAGCAAATACCAATTCAAGGAACTTATAAAGACCTGAGAATATTAGTATCTGAGAAGATGATAGCAAAGGAAGGGCTGGTGCACTTTATATTTTAATTGGGGACCTTTATAAGCTCAAGAGGGTATAAAAGAATAACCCAAGAGTTACCAGGGGTACACAAGCCCTCACATTATTGTGAAGTTCCCTTGATTAATTCAAAGCATTCTCCAACTCCAGAGCATTACGTTTGACCTCCCTACTTCCCTTAATGTACTTCCACGATAAGCATTCTCACATATTTTAGAGAATTGAGCTTCTCTTTCCAATCTCCCCTGCTAATTAATAAACTCCTCTGGGGTAAGGACACTATCTTACCTGGAATGATTCTATGTTTCTAGTTCATTAATAATGCAAGTATATTAGCTATGTAAATACTCTAGGAATTGCTCTCAAGAGGTGAAACATCACAGGCTAAGAGGGGAATCTTCCTGATCACTGCAGAACACAAAGCTACACAATTTATTTTCACAACAGTGTCCAGACCATTTCAAACATTTTATCTTGTTTACCCACAAAACAGACTCAGGCGGTCAAGAAAACCATGCATTGTTTTTCCAGTATATAAGTATCACACTAGAAAATAAAGCTATAATTTTTCCACTTCAGAAAGCAGTAAAGCCTCCACTAAAGCCCTCGAGGTAATCATTCACACACTGATGTATGCAAACGATTCCCTCCTCAGAAGACGGGCACCAAGGTGACACGCAACAAATTCCAGTTTACTCCACAAAGTCGGTTGAAAGTTATAAGCTGAGAGTTTGAAGAAAGCCAAGGTCATTATTTCAGACTAAACCTTCACAGACCCTTCCCAGAGTCAACAGTCTGCACAGATAATATCACAGAAAAATGAAGACTGAATTCTAGATGCGTGTATGTAGGAAAGTATACATGGGAACAAGTACAGGCTGCATGCTGACAACTGAAAAAACAAATACTTCATTAGGAGTCCCACTCATCAGCCAGCAGGACAGGATAATATAGTATTAGATTTAAATATCTGGGAAAATGCAATACTTAAAATTGGAGAGAAACCAAAGCAGTTACATCAATTTAACAAAGAGTGAATTAAATAGCAGTTACTCTTGAACATCGAAAAAAATTTTGTTAAATCTCTACTGATGGTACTATTTTCCTGATTACATTTCCGCAATACTCATTGTAAATTCTTTTTAAAAATATTACTATAGCACAAGTTCACCCTGCTTTGTTGTCATTATTTGCGCTATATAACCTTCATTATAAGCCTTTAACTTGTATCCCCATAGAGCAGGTTATACTGCTGTGCTCCAAGCATGTGCATCTGTGAGATCCTAGATCCAAGCACCTATCTGGTATTGACTGAAAAGCCACCCAGCAAAATTGTAAAAGCGAAAAATTCTGTGCAATGCAACTGACAAATACATGAAAAAACAGAGAAGCCTTTAAAATGGTATCTAAGACTCTGCTTTTTTTTTCCAGGACCAAATATTTTTCACCAGTTCTTCTTTCCTTGCTTTCTAGTATCATCTTGACATTTATAATCACAATGTTTTCAGTTGGAGTGGCAGTTATTTTCCATTTTTATTCAGATTAATGTAGATAACAATGAGCAAACTATTTACACAGATGGTAGATATTTCTAAAACCTAATAAGCACAAGTATTTTAGTATCTTAAATTACTTAAATGACTCACAGAAAACTGATAAGATTCTATATACTACAGGCATATTCTTGCCGGGGAAGGAGAAAGGTAAAAAGAATTTTAGCTAATTAAAAAAAGAAGAACATTCATGCCACTCTATAATTTTTGTAATGACATACATTTCCTGCATACTGCAAATTATAGATTTGTTCAATTCATTTAAATATTAGCAAAAGATAATAGAAATTCAAACTTCAAATATATTGTTTCAATCAACCAAGAAACCAAATGCTGTTAAGAAATAGTTTATTCGGTTGCCTCTATGAGCCTAAGAAAGTCCCAAGAAAATTGCAATGCATCTTTATTAGGACGTCACAAAACAAAAGACACCACCGGGTTCGGCGGTCCAGGGTCCCCAGAGTCTCGTTCATGCCAAGCTCTTTCTTCTTTCCTTTCATCAATCCCCTTGTATCAATTAATTCTTAGAGTTAATTGCACATGCAGTTTTAATCTGTAGGTAATTACAAACAATTAATAGGAGACAGAATTAGCAGTTCTTAGTTTGATTATCTATATAATTAAAAGGGATGGTAAACTAGAGTTGACAAACAGCATCTTAATCATCTGAATAATCAAACCTCAGAAGCTTGCTGGGTAGCTGAATTCCATCTGTTTCATTTCTTTAGACTTTAGAATAGATGACTGAAGTGTCCGTTTAAATCAATTCATGTATGTTAATTTATTAGTACAAAAAAGCAAGAAGTATATATTCTACAATCTTCTAAACTACCTTCTTTCGTTTTAATGAGCTATTTCCAAAACGATTCAACATAAATAAAGACTTAGTAGGGGATAAAAAGTAACACTATTTCCTCACTGAACCATTTCAAGGTTCATGGCTGACACTTCTATCCAAAGACTGATTAATAAAAGCATAAGAAATTTATTTATCAATAATTCATGTGACATAGGAGCCTTCAGAAATGAAGACCCCCCCCAAATCAAGGGGGAGCTGTGTATTTTTATGTTTCCATGTGATGAAGGATGTAGAAGTGTAATTGGATACAAGGGGTACGAGCCAATGGTGCAAAACCGAGGCAGGCGGACTCAGCAAGGACACCCTGCAGCTTGTCCTGGGCTTCTAAGTACGTAGTAGGACACCTGTCTTATGATTGTTTCCCATGCAGGAAGGATAAGGCCAGAGAGCAATTTTCCTAAGTTTTATGGCTTACTACAAAGGGAAGGAACTATAGTTTCTATGACCTCCTTCATGGACAAAAGGTAGGCAGAGGGAGATTAAACATAACTTTTCCTACCTCCGCAGCCTCCCAGTTTCATCCAGCTCAAAATATTCAGCAAACCAAGGCACCCTGTTTTCAAGGTATCATGTTCTGAGCCCAGACAGGTTCAACAGGCTAATTTCTGTCACCTGGTCTCTTAAACACTAGTCAATAATCATGGCTCCTGTTCCCATGCTATAAAACACCTAAGAAATATGGATTCAGTTTTTGAGTAGTGTTCTATGTAACACTTTTATTAAGTGTGTGCTGAGAGATGGCAAATAAGATATACCTTTCATCCTTCTTTGCCCATTTGATGGGATCAGTGGTTTGTAGACTGAGAGGAAGCACTAAGCAGCATGACAAGTTTAATGAGAGCTAGAAAAATGTGTAGGAACTGCATTGTGATAGGAAAGAATATCATCCAGAACAGGGCATCACTGTTGCATAATGTTTTTCTGAGCTGTCAAATATTTTAGCAAATATGGCAGGTTCTTCCAAGATAAAAGTGTTCAAAAAGAATAATCACTCCTGCCTGGTCCAGTCTGGCTTGTTGCCTTCACCTGTGAGATGGCCCCATGTTACTCCCACTGAAATACTATAAAAATAAGGGGAAAGTTGAAATTTTCAAGGTCACAAAATTTGAGTGTAACCATTCACCAATTTGCAGATGACAAGAAAATTTCCTTTAATTAGGATAATGGAAGTGAACTGAAGAAAACCTTTACATAATAATATAATCCCTTATATATATATATGAAAATAAGAGCACAAAAATCCCTTGGTGGAAGGCTGCCTCTCTCCCTCAGCTTCAGCCATCATGATCCACTTGAACCCCACAACTCCAAGACAACGGGGAACGAAAGTAGCCCTGACTTTAGCAGAACAATCTGATAAAGCCCCATGGTAAAGAAAGAGCTCTATACAGGGGCTG